GATTACCTATATTAAAAAATATTATACGCGATGCGAACGTATTTGACGCGTTCATGAAAATGAAATCGATTCTTACAACTGTCAGATTCATATGATACAATACATTATTTTTTTATTCGTATCTAAATATTTTATTTATTTATTGTTTTACCATAATTCTATATTTTTTAATTATAAAAAACTTATATTAAAAAAATAACATTATCCAAAAATGTTTAATATGGTAAGCTTTTTGAAGTTTCTTTCCCTGCAACATCACCCACCCGCCGATAGATGTCGTGGAAACCTTTCTATCGTATAACAACATGGCGCGCCCCGCCAGCGTGAATATTCGGCGACCTTAGTGTTATGTTTTAATTTTAACATATTTAGTTTGTAACAACTTATCTTTTGTGTGAATACTTTCTATTTATTATTTGGAAGAAGATGAATAGTCGATGTAAACCAGGTATGTTCAGTGTTAGTTACATTGTACGTAGACGTCCCACACCCTACGCTTGTAGTATTGATTTCTGTCACGGTGACCTGTTATATGACTTAAATTTGACGCATTCTCGTGTAGTTTCGCTGCATAAATAATTTTTTTGAGGAACATATAGTTTATTTATTCTCTATGTATAGGTACCATGTCATGAAAGTAATATTTTTGGGTTATTGTAAGAAATGGCGCATTAAATTGCTGCATAACGTTACCTCATCGCGTTGCCTAGCAACAATATGACCTATTGGTACCGTTTCTTCTTGATTGTAATGTTCTAATTAATATTTAAATAATATTTTTTCTAAATCGATACACTTATATTTGGTTGTGTCGTTCTTTGCAATAATACATACTGTTTAAGTTTTTACGTAAGCAGCCTAAATGACGTAGCCAAAAGAATGATATCGCTAAACTCGTTATTGATATAATACTGTTCGGATACTGGGAGTCAAGGGATTAAAAATGTAAATACTTAAAAAAAATAATTTCAATTGTACATTTAAGTAAAATGTATTTATCGACTTTACACTGCTTTGATAATATCAAGCCGATAACTGTATTCATAAAAAAAAATGGAATGGACTGTATGGTATAAGCTATTATAAAAGGATTTACGATATATTATGATGTGCTCTATTAAAACAAGTTGAAAATATTGTTTTTCTTTTTGTTTTCAGGTGTCATGATCTACTGGTCCGGATAATGATACATGAAAAAGAAATAAAACGTTTATTTAAGTATAGTATTATTTGGATATGGATCCAATTTTAGAAAATGAATCTGCAACACCGGAGTCTCCTTCAAAACATGGGAAAAATAAACAAAAACATAGGAAGAAAAAGCATCAATCTGAGACACAGAAAGATGGACAAACAGTGTTCGGCGAGAAGAAGAAATTTGTTGTCACTACGTTATCGTCATCTGATGAGAAGGAAACTACGCCTGAAAGGTTACCGAACACTAATGTACACACTATACACTTCGGCACGCGAGGGGTTGAATCCCAACGACCTCATGTGCGAACAATTTTTAAAGATAAACCTGTAGAATCTTCAAGACCATCGAGTTCTGAAAGAGATTCGAACAAAAAAGAATATGAAACCTTCCATGGTACCTCATCTAGTCCACGAAGCTCCATTTTTGATATATTTCGATTAAGAAGAAAAAGTGATTCAAAGAAACATCAAGCTATTATTCAAAATGTAAAACCTTCTACTTCCAAGTCGACTGACACCGACGATTCTTCAAAAGAAGAAAAACATATAGATTCGAAAGATTCTTATAAAAAATATTATCATACAGTAACCGGTGCCTCATCTCGGAAATTCGGCCCTATAACAAGGGTGATGGATATCTTCAGGAACAAACCTCACACAGAACCTAACCAATCACCTGTTGAAACCGTAAAGAAGAAAACTACCAAGCAGATTCGACGCTCTTCAATAGAAACAACTTCGCCAACTTACCATAAAAATTCATATGCTTCACTTGAACCAGCACAAGCAAAGCAACTTTTTCGAGAAGTTAGAGGTTTACCTAAATTTGACCCCTATTTATCCATCGTACAAATTTCTATTGGAGGACGTGATAAAACTAGGCTTTTATTGAATTTTTTCAAATACCACAAATGTTATGAAATACTACCAAAATCAGCGAAAGTTATTATATTTGACACTCAATTCTCAGTGAAAAAAACCTTTCTTACCCTAGTATCTCATGGCATTCGATCAGCACCTCTTTGGGATGCAAATAAGAAGATGTTAGTGGGTATGATCACAGTGACTGATTTCATTAGAATTCTTCTGCATCTTGACTCTGAGAATTTGTCTATGGAGGATCTGGAACGACATACACTTCATAATTGGAAAAAAATATTACGACCAACACGAAAGCCGTTATGCGCCGTAGGACCGGATCAATCGTTGCACGAGGCCATCAATTTGTTAACAAAGAACCGTGTCCATCGTCTCTTAATGATCGATCCGTTTACTGGTGACGTTTTATACATATTATCACACAAAAGAATTTTAAGATTTTTGTTTGTTTATTTAAATGGATTTCCGGAATTAACTTTTTTTCAAAGGACATTATTGGATTTAAAAATTGGTACTTATGATGAGATTTTGTCTGTAACAGAAAACACTAGTATTAAAGAAGCGTTTAAATTGTTATTAGAAAAAGATGTGTCTGCTTTAGCTATTTTAGATGACAATGGCACTCTTATTGACGTTTATGCAAAATATGAAGTTTTAAATCTAGTAAGTGAAAAATTGTATTTGAATTTGTCACTGACTATAGGCGAGGTAAGAAATAAAAAGAAAGACTGGGAAGAAAAGTTGCAAAAATGTCGTTCAAGTATTACTCTGTACGAGGCCTTAGAAGTTATAGTTAGAACTGAAAGTCATCGATTATTACTAGTAAATAAGGATGATAAATTAATAGGAATTGTATCGCTGTCTGATATTTTATTGTATCTCAATAGGATAATTCCGACGGAAAGGAAGGTCTCTTCCCTGCAAGAGATATATAGACCACTTGAAGAAAACAAGTTGCCTGAGTCATTAAAAGAAAGCGAGAATGAAGTAATATCTATAGATGTTCCGAATTTAGCAGCGCAAACTGTACCTGAGGCTGACGAGGCCACAACGAAATCTAATACTGCTGTTGATGGTGCATCTGCAGATGTTACTTCAGCGAATTTGGAGACTGACGTTGATGGTAGTAGTAATAAGACAATCCAAGATTCTATCACGAGAACTCCATCTGAGTCTTTGCCACTAGCTGATAATACTAATACTGAAGATGAGTAAATGTAATACATGTAGATGTTTGTCCTTTTATCCCAAAGAAATTGTTTATAGCAGAATTAGAATGTTAATCTCAAAGTATGCTTACCGCTTGTGTCTAATGATATTGTAATTTAACTTATTGTCAGTCATTAATAGATGCATCAGACACCACGTGATTGCCTTATTCATTATTTAACTCATTTAACTATATTGCTGAAACTTAATAAAGATTTTTAGCAAAATTTGCCTTTTAATCTGTTTCTAGTTTATTTTTAGTACTTTTATCTTTAAAATCTTATTAACCATAGTTTCCTAGATATCTATACTAATATTATAAAGAGGATAAATTTGTATTTTTGTATTCATTGATATAACTCCGAAACACTGGGCGGATTAAAAAAAATCTTACACCGTTCGAAAAGTATTTTATCTGTGAGTGACATAAGGTATTTTTTTAAATTACACGGACGAAGTCGCGAGCAACAGCTAGTATTAAATATTACAGAGTCATTAAACGAAATGTGGAGCCACTGATATGTCTAATTTCGTTTGAATATAATTGATATTGTTTAAAAACTTTATTGTTTTTGAATGAGATGGAACAGAATACTTCCATATTTTCTAATTATAAACGTTCACGTATAGCAACCTAGGTCGTGTTTAGTAGTTATCAGATAAATGATACTGATAACACATTTCTGTAATTTTCAGATATTGGTAACGATTGTATTAATTGTAATAATCGTTATAATGTAGATTGTATTACTAACCGTGAAATACATATGCGAAGGTAATCGCAGCCCCCCCTTTCGCAGCTCTAGCCTCAAATATGGGATAAAATTCTATTCAAACACTTTCTAAAATAGAGTAGTCATTTTATTTTTAGTGTAGAATATAAAATATAGAAATAATTGAACAGAATTGGAAACGGATAGATGAATGCACGTGATCGGAGCGTGCGTTTGTGACCCTGATCGTCAGCGATTTTGCAACAATCTATTCGACGGTAAAGCTCTTTATAAATTGTCATTCGCCATACAAACATTCGTTGCTGATGTCTGATGGCTCTGAACAGGCACTGGCGTGTTACAGAAACCTGTTGAAATAAATGTCCAAGGACACTTGTGTTGACTGAGACTGTGAAGAGATTTTTTTTATGTATGCGATGTATTTATTATTGAAATATAGTCTAGATTTAATGGTAGAAAATCTTCGAGTTGGAAAGAATATTAAAGTTAAAGGCTTTTATTTTCTATTAAAACTTGTGAACATTCTAGAATCAAAAAAATATATATCAGATATAGTACTTATAATATTCAGTATAAATTATTTTTTAGTTTTTTACACGCGCATTATATTTATGGCAACAAGTACAGTGCAAGATACATGGCGAGCGGTTGAAGACCGAACCCGGAATCTCTTTACTTCAAGGTTGCACTGTTTCTTTTAGTAAAAGGGAAATATGTATCGTATCATATATCTGTATGGTTTGTCGTTATAATAAAACTCAGAAGTGCAATATTGAATGCGAAACAAATATCTCCTAAAGATCACTTGCACGGAAGAAATGGTGTTAGAATAGCGCGGCAAGTATAGATTCTATTCAAATTAACATAAGAACCAGTAGCGGCCCACTCGTGAGAAACCGGTAAGTCACTTGGCACCGGTTAAATAAATATGGAAGCTTGTCGCGTGATTATGAGAGCGATCTGCCTACACATGACCAGCGCCCGCCACCGCCGCCGCCGCCAGCCGTCCGCCGCCCGCCGCCTCGGGGTTCCAAAGTTTTGGCGACAGGTATTGGTATATAATTTTAAACGGTATGGAACAAAAGATTTAATATAAAATCTTGTTTTGTCTAGACGAGAATGTTTTTATTATACTCAAGGATAAAGTTATAGATTCTTAAGTGTAAACCTGATGCTTTTTTGTACGTTTTATTGTACGCGGTTGTATTTTTTTGCAACTATAAGGTAAAAAATAGGAGGTTAAAAAGTGCCAAGTGCCCATTGTTTATTTCTTTATTATCTTTTGAATATATTAATAACTTAGGTGGTCTATTGTTGAAATCAATACCAGGTCCAGTTTCTATTATAGGTTTTTTTTAGTGGGGATTTTTGTAGTTGGTTTGTTTTGGTGGTTGGTTTGGTTGTAGTTATATTGTTTGATAATGATCAAAGGGTCATTGATGTCATGGATTTAATATGCTCTTAAACGTATAAAAATCAATGCAGAAAATGGTGAATCTTAAACTATGTTCAGCGGCCTAAAAGTGTCTCCTGGTTTTCATATACTTCTCATACATGTTAGGAATTTTACAGACTTTTTTAAATTTGCGTCATTAATACTCGTATGTAGAATAAGAATGTCAAATACTTATGATAGACTAGCATTCAGAATTTAAGCCCTAGTTCCATTTCAAATGTCAGTTTCTCATACACGCAATTCGACTAAGACGGTAGCTTCGTTTATTTGCGAAGTTTCTTTTTTCGCTCTCCTTTCTATATGCAATAAATGGGCGCAGTTTGTGTTTGCTAAATTGTGTTATTTACACATTGAGCTAATGCAATTCTTTGCCTTGGCTCTATAAACACTTCTACCAAAAGTCTACATAGAAAAAATCTTTCAACCGATGTATTACGGTGTCCTAAACCCATATATAGTAATTAAAATGAAACAAATATTTTGTATTAAAATAAACTAAATGTAAATTATATTCAAATCTTGAAAACTAATTGATTACTGCTATCAAATATTAACTTAGCGAATGTTTAAAACATCGGTAACACGCTGTAACCGGCTCACCGAGTGACCGCATATTTTTTTTCGTAAATGATAATACATTTTTGTCGTTGACGGTCATACGCTTATCTATTCAGTGATTTATTAGATACATTTAGAATATGCTAAGCATTTTTACACCAAAGTGTGATTCTTAAGCACATAAATTTAAACCACGTTTAACTTAAGTAGCAAGTTAATTTTCACGACTTTACTCATATTTTTTGTTCATTATTAAAATAGCATATAACTTCCAAAGGTCTTATAAAATAAATTAATAAGTAGCAGAGAGGAGCTGCTTTTTCAGGAGTTAACTCAACCTGGCTTAGGTTGGCATTTCAATACTGGCTAAACCTACTACCGACGCGGCTGTACGATTATGCCACCTCGTTTCCTAATTACTAAGATTAGCACTATGGGATTGATATATCTTTTTAAAGGTAAAAATCCTCCTCCACTTATAAAGATTTAAAAAAAAAGTTGGAATTTGTTCAAATTCGTTTAACTCGTTGATATATGTCCGGTGGAGAACGAATAATAAATGTACTTATTATCTTGTGTCTTTGTAAGGCTTGAATAGCAACGAGAGCTTTTAATAATAATGCTGTATTGATTAAGTAGTCTAGTTCTAAAAGTTGGGGAACCGGAATATGGCCAGACGTCGCCACCTAATAACTTTTTTTATATCTCTCAATAATGTTCTCTTTTAGAATATTGTAGCAGCATTTTTAGACCAAAATCAAAGAGCACTGGGTCATCCGATTTATTTATATATTTATGGGAAGAGCATTGACAGCACTTGAGGAAGAGCACAAATCTTTCAAGGCCTAGTGCATATTTGCAAATACTAACATTATAAATGCAAAAGATTTGATGGGTGTATGTTTGTTAGATTTTGCAGCCTAAACTGCTGAACGGATATCGACGAATTTTGGTATAGATGTAGAGGATAGTCTGAAAGAACTCATAGGCTACATACTTTTCGTTTCTTACTAATTCCATGTGAAGAGAGTCGCGGGCGAAAGTTATTATTACGCAGATGCCGTAGTACGAAGTGTCTGTTTTAGTTCGAAACTGAATTATGGAATGTCCTGACTGAGTGCCAATGGTAAAATAAAGGGATAAAAATAGTAATGTTTTTTGTAATTAGGTTACAATTACTTGTATGATAAAATTTATTCTAATTAGAAATCATATGAACTAAAGTTGCAATTTTTCAATAATAGTTTTTTAATGCATTCATTGAGAAAATATAAATTTCTGCGAATTGAATTAAATTTGGTGTAGGATTGTTTGAGGATATCGAGACTGGTCCATGTTAAATATATTATGAAATTAACATATTAATCGATCAAGCAGAGGTCGTATAGTGGTCATATACGTTTATGATTATCGCAGAGATTGTACCGCAGCGATGTTGTAACATATTTATACAATAAAAACATATATCTCAAGGATTGCGAATGTTTACTTATAATTGTGTTTTATTAGTAATGTTTTGAAATGAAATTAACGAAATACAAGTTTTGGGTTTTTAGATAAGTTACAAATCTATTAAATTTATGTTTCATGGGAAATGATAGCAGGAAAAATCCAATTTCCTCGTATCGTACTACCCAAATCTTTGATAACTTTATAATTTTTATTATTTCTTCTAAATATAGCACTTATTTAAAATATCCTGATATAACTAGTGTAACTATAATAACTCGCTTATGTTTGTTTGTACAATCTTTAAAAGGAAATAAGTCTCTTAACACTTATTTGTGTGTACATTCTAAATCAATACCTTCCTTATGCCCAATTCTCTAAGAAGTGAAGTCGATAGTTTGCATAACTTGCGGTCGCAAATTTTTAGAAACTTTTGAGTCACATTATGACCTAAATGTTACCCAGTTAATATCCCAATAACTTAAATATTAAAAATTACTTACACATTTATTCGGTAGATTATTGAATAAACAAAGTTCTCACGACATCATGACCCTAATGCACGCTAATGTTCGCGCATTACTGTTATGCGGCATATCGGAGAAGACAATTGAAGATTAGCAAACATACTTTTCATTAAACCTTATTTGGACCACTGAAATATCGACCAACTAATCATTCTGATGATTAAAATATTTTTCTCTTCCAAGATCAGTAGCCCTTTCTTTTAATAACTTCCCATAGATTCTTTCTAATAGACAATAGAAGCTAAATTGTAATAAACCGAAGCAGCGTACGTTAAATTGTGTGACTATATTGTAACATGAGGTTTAAACAATAAAATTTAATCCGCTGTTACAAAATTTACATTAATACGCAAATCTATGTTAACTTCGTTTAATTTTATAGCTCTTAGAAAGTAAACACATTACGGAGTTGCTGTTTACTATAAATACACAATTTCGTAATAAACACTCGCTGACCTGCGAGATTTTACGAGTCATTGAAGCAACAATTTTTCTATTGCTCATACACAAATGAATTGATTACATTTTAAGTTGTACGATTATTGCACACAAACAAAACGGCCTCAGGCTATAACAGCCGCTATCTTCTTCATTATTAATGTCTGTCATTATTTCTTAAGCACTGTATTTATTTTGTCTTAAAATTTGATAAAACAAATTAAATATACAGAAACTCGTTTCTATGATTACACCAGTATTAAGGCATTTTTGCAATCATTCAGATAAATCTCTTATGTGTTGGAAAATGATAATGAGTCCGCTGAAGATTTAAAAATGTAAATTAGTTCACGAGTTGTTTGCGCCTACTAACCTGACAAATAGATTAACTTGGCTTGTGATGAAGTTGTACTATCGATACAGTAACAGGTAAATGTTTTAGTCGATTAACTCGATGTTCATTTGACAGGTTTATCTAATATGTAAAACCTAATTATGTTTGAATTAACATTATTTTGAATACTCCGAATTATTTAATAATGGTCATCTTAACTCTAATAAGATTTTGTTTTAAGCAGACTAGGGATAAAGTGTAATTAAGTGAATAATTAAAACTATAGCTTTTTACAACTTAACAATTACTAGTCCCAGATTCATTATCATTGGCATTCTAGTGACAAAATATAAAATTCTTTATCTACTTAACTGATACAACTAAATTGAATGTAGCAATACATAAAATGGAAGAATATTCATAAATACAATACGATGAACTGAGGTTTTAGTGGCAAGATAAGATTTACAAATGTAATAATGTAAAACCTAGCTTCGTTGTGTAGTTACGTGAGTGAGAGTAAGTATTTTGTAATCCTAAGTAGTGAAACTGATGTCATAGCGATTGGGAGCCAGTCGATGACCTCCTGACACGGCTCTTATAAACGCCTGCGCGTCGCGAATGGACACTGACCGATGCGTTAATTTGAAACAACGCGAAATCAACACGACTTGCGATTTTTATTCTTGCAATCGCTTGCATACCGCTAACAATATAATTTTAGCTAGTTTACATTTATCTTTGTTTTATTTTTTTGTTTCAAACCAATTAGCATAAAGCTTTTAGAATAAATCACATTTGAATTTGATTATAATAGACAATGTTTTGCATTTATATTTATTTAAAAACGAGTTACATATGATATATTTTATGTCAATTGTAAGTTGTTTGCTCATTTTTATTTACAATAAATTTTGTCACGATACAAATGATAAAAAAGTTACGGTTGAAATATATATGTAAAAATTATTGCTTAGATTATTGGTGGGCAATATTTTGTGTATTGGTTAAATTTTATAGATTATTGAGGAAGTAAAAACGCAATGTGATGGTATTGAATACACAGTTACGTCATGTAATTTTGTTTAACAACAAAGTGAAATCTCTCCGATGATATAAGACGCAGCGCATTTTGACGCTTGATGCATCACTCCGTTTCATGTTTTAATATTTTTTCATATCCTTGTTTAGGTTTTTGCTAATGGATGTAAACAGAGACGAAGAGCTATCGGGTTAGTTGACATAAATTACATCACAATAACTCAATTGCGTGTAAAATTTCATCG